GTCTGGTAGGAACGGGCACATGGCGTAGATGCACAGGGTGAAGAAAAGCTGAAACGCGAGCGGGAAACGCCATGCGATATCGCGCGGTGCGAACGAAAAGCCGAGGGTAAGCCAATTCGAGATGCTGAAGCCGGTGATGCAGTTCGCTGTTAACGAATTAGCCAAAATGTCACACTGTACGTTGTAAATGCCGTACCCATCTGGATGATAACGAGCTTTCCTCGACTATTCATCTTACTGGTCTCAGCCTGCCAAACTCCAGCCGTTGCTGTGTTCATGCCAGTACCAAGCCCCGCCACAATGCGCCCAACCATCATGCTTGCTACAGTCCAACTACATGTCTGGATGATTGCGCCGATGCCGATGATCGTCGAACCGAGGAGAATCTGCCTTGGGCGTCCGAGAATGTCGCCAGTCCATATGGTACTCATCGCTCCGATGAAGCAGCCGATGTTGTAGATGGATGTCATCACACCTTGCATGTTGGCAGATGGGTAGCCAAAGGTGTGGAGGAAGTTCTCTGAGATGATGACATTGCCGAAGACACCTTGATCGTAACCGTAGAAGCTAATGAGTGTCAGACAATCGCGTTGCAAGATGTGTTGATCGTAGCTTACACGAGTACCGTACTGGCGGCGATGGAAATCCATACTGTCAGCCGCTCACCAGAGCCTCCAAGATATTTGCGTGCCATGGTCGCGTACTCCCTGTCCAGCTGCCGATGTCACGAAGTTTGTGATCGTAGGTGCAGAGTAGGAGATGTCGTGGAAGGAGGAAGTACCCCAAATCAAGAGATGTCAATAGCCGGTCCAATGCACTGGGCCTGTACCAAACTTTGTCATCTGCAACGGGGTCGCAGCGACGATCAACTCTTTATACCGGGCATGAGCCCTGGCTCGGGATTTTCTCCGCTTATCATTATCCTCGTCATGCGAAGCTTGTCAAGCCTCACAAGCCTCTGGTCGTCCCCAGATCCACTGAACTTCCCCAGACTCTGATCACATATCCGATACCCCATAGGCCGAGGGCCCACTCGGTCCACACTGGAGCTCTGTTACTGGTGATAGCGGCGTTTTAGCCGAGCGAGGAGGCAATGAGTGATCAAAGCGCAAGGGTAGACAGGCGAATGCAGCGATGTTGAGGTTGCGCGTATGGGAACGATGCATCGCGGAATACTAATTCAGGGAAGGCGGAAAGCTGCGTTGGCTGATGAACACGGAAGGTGAAGCGAGCGCGGGGTAGCGAGGAAGGTGCGCCGAGTGTGGGGGAAATCGATGCTGAGGTCCAACGCCACAACACGAAAGCCATAGAAACCTTAACAATCTTGTACGAGCCTCTGAAACAAAGCTGGCAATACAGCCGGTATATCATGCCCAAGCTCTTCCCGGGCATTCAACCACGCGAGTGCCGAATGAGGGAGGTAGCCTCGGGAACTCCCCGCAGTACTCCTCTCCTCCAATATATTCGACGGAAGAAATAGACTAAACTTGAGGTCGCGCATCATAGTCCCCTGATCTGCGCATCATATCCAAACATGTCGAGCGCACGGTCTTCCACTTCGAGGAGTACTTCCGGCATACGAGAGGTATACGCACGAACTCATTCCTTCCACCGGTAAAAGGTCGCTCACGGCTTCTTCGTGTTGATGATGAACTCACAATGCGAAAGTATAAAGAGAGGGGATATTCGTATGGACGGGTAGGAAGTACATCGACCAGGAAATACGCACCATGATCTTAACCAACTCTGTTCTTCTGACCCTCGCTGGAGCGACCCATGTCGCTTCGCAGTCGTTTCAACTGACGCCTGTCATGGGTTGGAACTCATACAATCAGATGTCATGTAGCCCCAACACCCAGAAGATCACCACGACCATCAACTCGCTCGCGAGTCGCGGGTTCGTCGACGCTGGCTACAAGTTCTTCCAGATTGATTGCGGATGGGCTTCAAGAGATGGACAACGAAACGCTACTAGCGGCGCACTGAAGGTGGATCTGAAAGCCTTTCCGGGTGGGTTGAAGCCTTTGAGCGACCTTGCAAGGTCAAAGGGCATGAAATGGACAATGTACTCGGATGCCGGTGTGAGAATGTGCGACCCAGAGGCGCCAAGCCCTGTCTTGGGCTCGTTAGGTCATGAAGCTGCGGACGCGGATTTCTTCAAGACGCTGAACACCGAATACGTCAAGTGTATGTCCGAAGGAACGTGGTCGCGCACTGTGATCATCAAGCTGACAGCCTTCCAGATGACAACTGCTATGCCGACGGGCCTGCAGCTAGCCAGAATGCTCCCAAGAACGCCAGAACCGATTTTGTCACCCGCTTCGGTGTCATGTGGAAGGAACTGCAACGAGTTGGTATCCCAGGAATGTTGATCTGCCAATGGGGCGTTCCATTCACAACCTCTACCGGTCTCCAGGGACCTGCTCAGTGGACGAAGCCCATCTCGACTTCCTTCCGACTTTCAGACGACATTACTTCAGGTTGGGCCTCCATGTTCCGCATCTACAACCAAGCTGTGCACATCGCCAAATCAGGTCTAGTCGCCCCGGGGCACATTGCCGATGCTGATCTGCTCATGGTCGGCAACTCTGGCATGACGTTTGACGAGCAAGCCACGCACTTTGCCGCGTGGGCTATGCTGAAGTCGGCGCTCATGGTCTCAACCGACGTAGCGGCTCTGTCGAATGAACTCGTCGCTGTTTTGCAAAACAAAGACCTGATTGCGATCAACCAAGACTCTGCTGTCAAGCCGGTCACTCTCCGTCAGCGTTGGAGCGGGGATCGCGACCTTTGGGCTGGTGACCTCGCCAATGGAGACATGGCCGTCTTGGTCGTAGACCTCAGCAACACTGCGCGTACGCTGAGCCTGCAGCTCTCCGAACTCGACATCGCATCGGCATCGATCAAAGATCTCTGGACGGGTAAGACTGTTAGCGAAGCCTCCCTCTCCAAGCAAGTCAAAGCGCACGGATCTCTCGCCATCCGCCTCTCCAACATCCGCCGCTCGACAGCGGCCAAACCCACGTACAAGTATGTCTCCGCATCAACCGGCTCCCTTTCCTCGGGCGCCTCCACCCAGTCCTGCTCCGGCTGCGCCTCTTCTAACAAAGTCGGTAACCTGGGCGGCTCGTCGAACGGTCGCGTAACGCTCTCCAACATCCGCACATCCAAAGCCACACAAACAGTATTCTTCGACTACATTAACGGTCAGGTTGACTACATGGGCGGCAGCAACGAGCGCGTCGCATCGATTAGCGTGAACGGAGGCGCAGCAAAGACCGTCAGCTTCCCCCTGAGCGGATACAACTGGGACAAAGATGTATACAAGAACTACGGCGTCGAGTTGTCGGGCTTCAGCACCACAGGTACCAACACCATCACCATCTCTGGCGCTGGAAGTGCGTACGCGCCGGATGTTGACAGGGTTGGTGTGATCGCCTAGTGCGCGGCCGGCCTCAATTCGGCGCATTTCTGTCTCTCCAGCCACGCTTGATTAGCCGGCTCAGCCACCTTTCTAGCGGTCTGGACATCTGTTTTGCAACGTACTACGGATGTTTATGAAGCACAATGAATGAACATCACTATATTTTCGGTCCGACGCCAAACCTCCGGCTGGGTATCATGTAAATACGCACACAACTTACTCTTCTGTGAGCGTTCTGTCAGCCAAGTCCAGCGCATCATCGCGATAAATTTCTCCGTGTCGCTACCTCGTGCGCTAATCGAGTGGTTGTTTGAGTTGTCGCATGTGCCAAATCTTACGATGATTGATGCGATATCTGCGTATTCGGTGTTTCTCGCATCTAGGCTTACCTCGTAAAATGACTGACCGCGTTTCCAACGCAGCGTAGCATAGCACAGTGCATCTGACGTATGCGCACCTCTTAGCAATGCAGCGCATGAGCAGATATTAAATATCTCGGCCCTACAATACGCAGGTACAATGATGAATACATAAAGATCTTCACGTCCTTCGTTCCTTTCTCCATCACTCCAGGCCTACAGTTGCACATCACCGCTTCAAGCCTCACTTCCAAACACCAACAAGCACCTCAAGATGCAGCTCCAGTACCTCCTCCCCGCCGCATTCTTCGCCGCCTCAACCATAGCCGCAAAGTTCAACGGCTTCTCCGACATCGCCTGCCAACAATACGACGGCACCTACATCCCGATGACAGCAACCCAACTCCAAGACATCGTCGTCAAGAACTGGGCGACTACGCAAGAAATTCCCGAAGCATCGCGCTCCTTCACTGCGCCTGATGACAGGAAGCTCTGCCCTTCGAACTCGGATGATACGTACAAATGGGTAAGTTCTTATAGCATGTGACTTGGCTTGGTGGGATGGTTTCTGACTAGTCTTCTTCTGCGATGTAGGTCTCGATCCCGCAGTGGGGGCAGGGAAGCAAGTGGCCCGCTGGTAATGGTGGTGCGCTGGCTGTGGTTTACTACAAGGAGACTGATACGTACAATGTGTGCCGTTATCTTGCTGCTGCTCAAGCGGATGGGTATAAGGGTGCTTGCAAGTAGGTGGTGGATTATTTGTGTGATGAGCGATAATCTAGACCGATCATAGGGTGGTGGAGCGTGTATATACATAAACATATTGATTGTGGTCGTCGCAACGATTATCGGTTCGTCATGGTTGTAGCACGGATATGGTAGTCAGCGGCGTTACATTCTCGCTACTCTTTCGCCAGGATCGATTTACCCAGCCTGATATCACATTGCTTGGTTGGTCTGTCACTGTCTGACCCTGGCGTTTGATCTGTGATGTATCGAGTATGAGCAAGCGGTACGTCAAGTTTAGAACACCATGGAGTTATTGGTAATTTGTATTGGATCGAATACGACTACGTGTGATAACTATTGACGGCCTACGCAACGAAACTTGCGTACTAAGGAGATATACCTGTGTGTTAGTATTGGTGGAAAGGAAAGAAGCGGTGCATTTGATGTGGAGGGTGCCATTTGCACGATAGAGCAGGATGTCGATGCTCTTATAGCTTATACATCTGCTTGAACGCTGCCATACCTCCTGACGGTTGTGACACGAATCCACTGAAAATCTCGGTGTCCCACTCGTCAAGGAATTGCTGCGGTGTCCAGTACTTCCGGGCTTCTATCATGCTTCTAGCGTCCCAAGGAGCACCAGCGTCTCCATCGAAGTGGATGAAGCCAGAACCTTCGGTGATCTGTCGGACTACCGCGTAGAATGAGTCCGGTAGATGATGAGGCAGTTGGAATCTATCCTTCAGTGCCGATTCGCTCATAGGTACGCCCAAGTACAGTGGATCGTACAGCTCACTGAGCTGTACATCCTCATGTCTTTGCATATAGTCAGACTTGAGCATGGCCTCTTGAAGGCTAGCTGCGTGCTTAAACGTCTCCCATGCGATGAGGCTTTCGTCCTGATGACCTTCGATATGGATGTTGAGAACCTCAGGGTGCGGGATACGATCGAAGGTAGAAAGAGCCTCGTCTATGAAGTCTGCAAAGGGGCGAATTAAATTCAGCTTCATTATGTAATCTCGGTTCCCATGTTGAGTGTCAAAGGGCGCATGTAGCCAGAATGGGTGTGTGAGGTTTGTCCAACACCCCACGTGCAAGTCGATCCGGAGGCTTTTGTTCTCGCAGAGGTAAGATTCAAGAGATCTTACGTGTGACTCGGGGTAAGCTACGGCCAATTTGTTCTCCCGGATGATAAAAGGAAGTCGTATGCGCAATCGAGTACTCTGGGGCAACCTTTTGAGGTAATCGACTGCAACAGTTGTGGCAGAGAAGTACCAAGCTAAAGGTACTACAGGATCGGTCCATGCCAAATGGCGATCAGCGTCTGGGGGGAGGGGGTCGGCTAAGAAGGACTCCAGAGCAAGATCAGTCTCGGTTGGTATCAGCGCCAGGTCCGGCTTCCACGCGAGAAGGGCGTTCTGGCATCCAGGCACAAATGGAGGCATCATACCGCGAATGCTGAGCGGGCTCACGATGGACTCGGCTATGAGTTGGTCGAATTTGGGATGCGAGGATGCGAGCTCTAACGTGTAATGTAAGGCGTCGCAAAAGGGTGCTGACGTTTGCCACCGTCAGTTGTAGTCGAATGGGTTGATTCCAGTCCCCTCATATAGCTCATCTCCTGCCTTGATGGCACCGTAGGCTTTTCGATAGTAGCAGGCGATATTGGGAAAGCGGGTGGCCACCTGATCAACCATCTCCGGGATGACGCATTCGCCCTTGGCCACGAAGTGCAGCATATGCATCTTCATACGCCTCGCGCTTTGTATCAGTCGCTCAAATCGTCCAGCTTTGGAGTCAAGATCCTTTACGCTGATGCAGTCTTGATCAGAACGCACGGGGAAGAAAGTTAGGGTGTTGGCTCGCATGGCCGCATCCTTCATCTCCCCAGCTGCTTGCTTGCAGCAGCGTGTCAGCGCAGTCATCTCCTGATGTTTTTCCTGGGTCTCATACCGAAGCTTATCCGAGGCATAGTCGTAGAAAACGCCATTTTCGTCGTGCGCATAGTGTTCGTAGATGTTATCGCGCAATTCCCTGGGGAGGCGGAATAGAGGTGACTGCAGTTGGTCTAACATTGTGAGAAGTATGATGGCGGTTTTTCCAAGTAGTAGTGGTACGATGGTAGTAGAAGGATGGTGGATATGGAAAAATATGATGATGGAAAATCGATGGGAATCGATGGTTTAAGTGCATTCGGGACATCTATGGATTGCCAGGCATCAGCGAATCACGTGATAACCCAACTTTGGTTCAGGGTAACACCAACCTTGGAATCGCCCGGTACTACCAATGCACAGTCGCGAAGTGGCAAGTTCTGATATTCTCAATCAACTTTTAGCTGAAACTGCGACATTGTCTAATACAGCATACCCCCGGGGCCATGTGAGCAGCGAAGAACACACCTGCAACCAACGTACATCAGTTTTCACGATAACTCCCGAGGTCGTGTAGGGTCGTAAAGACTGCGTAGCATACACGCCTCTCACTTGATCAGGCGAAGATGCGATACGCTGGTATCACATATGGATCTGCCAGCGATGAGCAACCACTTACGATGAGTTGGATAAAGGACAGCGTGTGCGTGTGTACATTCCCCGCACGTGCCATCGAGGTGCCATGTGGGATGGGTCCCGAGGTCCTACCGAGAGCCATGGCCTCTCCAAAACGCGCCCCCATCATCGAACATTCTCGCATTTCTTGTGGTCTCGGAAGCGCCAGATGAGGACGCACGGTCTCTTCTCGGTCATGGTCCTCTGTCGATCATTGCCCTTTCGCTACGCTTTGCTCGGTGCTATTGTAAAATGAAGTCTCCTGCATCAAAGCTTGGCATCGCTGCTGAGACAACGGTGGAAGCACCTGACCCGCCCTGATACCTGTGACGGTATAAATCAGATCGACAGACACGGATCTCTGTTGCTGGATTGACTCGCGAAAGTGAATTTAAACATCCGCTGGAGATCATACCTACCCATCCCTTGTCTTCTCCTCTTTTCGAAACTTCCTCTATGCTTCTCCGCAATGACAAGTCCTACAACGGCATATCCGACCCGCTCCAGAGTCTACCGGCTACGGCATGTACCAAGCAGTATTCCGGCAACCCCTCTCCGCTCGCTCGTCTACCACGCGAACTACGCGACCAGATCTACGAGTATGCCCTGGGTGCCGACATGATGCGCATATTGAGTTTCGGCGAGACAAAGATAATAATGCTGCCAACCTACGCACCGGGTCGTGTGTACTGTTTGTTGGAAGACGGTCTTCCGATCTGGATGCTATCTAGCAAGATGATTCTGTCTGAAGCACTCGAAGTCTTCCACCGAATGCAGTGCTTTGAGCATATCGGTCTTCCGCCGTACGCTCAATGGAAACTTTCGCCCACCCGAACGAACCCCCTGGTACTCAACCAAAATATACGTCACGTAAAACTCAACGAGCCACTCGAAGTGGTCGGAGATTCATTTCCATCACCGAGCTCCTGGCATCCCGGATACAACGATACGTTTCTAAAGTGTCTCGCTTTATGGCATCCTCCGGAATTGGACGTACGCTGTGAGGTATTCTCTAATAATCCGGAAGGACCTCGCATGAATCCAAGCGAGGTACCAAAGTGGCACAACAAGGTCCCTGTGCGGAACCCCGATGTACGTGATCGGTTCAAACAGCTTCTCGGACAGTGCAAGAGCATGACAGTGGAAATTAAAGTCCCTCACGGTCTTCAGGAGAATGAAAAGCTTTTGAACAACGCACGAGCTTGGGCTGAACCTAAGCTTGAGCAGAAGAGACAATATTTTGCTGACTTATGTTAGTCGATTGAGGCATGGGCGAGGGAATTGGTTGGCGGGAGCACGCGCTTCTTAATGAAGAACGAGAATGACGGAGGTGAGGTGTACTATACGGATGACGAAGACGATGAGCATGACGAAGATGACGAGCATGACGGGTACAACGTGTATTACGAGCATGAAGAGTATGGCAGCTCTTGGAAGCATGGTATTCCTCCGGAAAAGTACTTTAGGGCCATATGCGAGGCGCGAAGATTCGACTAAATGTGTCGCATAGAAGCACTGAATAACGTTGGGGATTGGTACTGCGGCCTTGCAATAGCCATCAACATCAACACAGCGAATTTAAGCTCCTCCTAATAGTCTCAGTCTTTTCCACTTGATACCATTACAGACATACGCGCATCCGGCCGCATCTTTTATGTGATGTCTCTCACCAGATATTTCTACCATGGAAGAATTGAAGCCCTGGCTCCGAACTGAACAACCTACATACACCGCGTAGTTCTCATCGCTGGTCTCCTTGAAAGCACGGGAGATCTAGCAATGCATAGGTATACCATGGGAAGCAGATTCCATTGACTTCCCTCTACCACCATCACTGTCCACAGAAAGCGTAATAACATTTCCTCTTCCATAACAACCCTCACTTCCCCCTCCGCAACCCCCTCAAAGTCCCCGCAAACCTCCTCCTAGTCACATACACAAACCCCATAAACACCACCGCAAACACCACACTCCCCGCCCCCGTCCTCTGATTCATCCCCGCCTGTTTCTTCGCCTCCTCGTAATACCCCTTCACCTTCTCCGTGACACCATCATCCTTCTCCAAATCAGGCATAGCCATGATCTTGACCACCAACGCCGACCAGCCCGTGAAGTGCTGGGTACGCTGTCCAGCGCCTTTGACAGGGTCGTATTGCTCCCAGATATAGCCTGTTTGGAGGTACGAATTGAACACGGTGTGCACGATGTTGCTGCGGAGTTCGATGTAGATTTCGCGGCAGCGTTGTTGTGAGGGGCCGGGGATTTGGGCGAGGTCGAGGAGGTTGGTGAGGAGGAGGTAGTTGATGTTTATCCAGATGGGCGAGCGCCAGTAGTTGTCGTCTTTGCCGTAGGCGTCGTCTTCGGGGCTTAGACTGCGGACGCCGAAGTCGGTCCAGAGGTGGTTGGGGTCGCGGAGGAGGCTTAGCATTGCGGGTAGATGTGGGTGTGAGGGGTCGGTGAAGCCGGTGAGGAGAGGGAAGATGGATATGTAGCCTTTGTGGCAGGCGTGAGTGTGTAGGTCGTTGCGTACGACGGCGTCGCAGTAGGTGTTTGGTTCTTTGGACCAGTGTATCGTGTCGATGTTGGTTTTGACTCCGCGGATGTGGTTTTGGTATGTGAGCGCATCGTGGGCGTTTTCGGTGAAGAACGCGATGCGTTCTAGTGTTCGTGCCATTACGCCAACCCAGCACAGGGCATCCAAATGCAGCTCGGTGATATCAGGAGGTTCCGCTCGAGGGTAGTCGTCCAAGCCGCTGGCAAGGTTCGTGCCTGGTGTCCGGCCACGCCATCGGTAGCCCTCATTCAAGTTGGCCGACGGAATGGAATGGGCCTCCACGTCTCCAGATTGCGACTTCCGGAACCAGTCGTAGTGCTTCTTGAGGTACGGATACATCTTCGTCACCAGAGCTTTCCCAGTCTCTGCTTTGGCGAGGTAGAAGGAGTCGTGACCATGATATTTTGTCGTCCCTTTCAGCATATCGATGAACTTGGAGATGACCAGAAACATCGTTGGCGGGTTCGCAATGTGTGGGAATTGGGTGACGAATTCAGCAGGCGTGGCACCCTCGGCTTCCGCGCCTAGAATCTGCTCTCTTGCTATCCAGCCATCATCATCCATGAGGTTTAAGAGCCAGTCGCGTATCACCTCGAGAGCGAGATCAGCATCCCACTCGACGACAAGGAGAAGATGAAAGCCCTCATCCCATAGGAAGCCCCTTGGAAAGGCTGCACGAGATGGCGTATGAGTGAGGAGCTCATACGGGCCTTTCGTCTCCGGTGTTGTATGCTTCTTTGCGTCGACTGACTTCTGCCAGAAGTTTGCAGTGGTCTCAGCGTATATGGCCTTCTTCGACGTGTCGACCTTGGCAGTGCCGGTAAAGTAGCCTAGTCCACCTAGCAGATTGGAGAAAGTATTCCGAGAGAAGGCGCGATGCATGACGGTGGTGAAGGGCGTTTTCGGGGTGAACACTGCGTCGAAGTTCTTGGCGAAGGATGCGAGGGTTTCCTCTAGACTGGTGGTAAGACCGGCGGCTGGAAGGCATTAGCATATCTGGTTCATGGACGCGCTTCTTCGTATAGAATGGCGGAGGTGAGTACTCACAGGTCATGGCTCGTTTCGCAGTATCACTCGAGTACAGGATGTCGAACTGCTTGAGGTTAGTCGCAGTTTAAACATATGATCGTGGTGCTGACCTCGAACTCCCCATGGCACACCATCTGCACTAACTGTAAATTGCCGTTGCCCGGAGCGTCGCGCAGTACGATATCATTTGGTCCTGGCTCGGTGCGGTCTTTCGTTTGGTCTTTCAGCGACTCCAAGAAGGTGGCTTCTTGCACATGCTCATCAGCTGGTTGTTCATGACACGATGGGGAGGTTCGAAGCACAGGTAGATGGGATTGAAGATATCATGGCATTCATTGTACTTACATTTGCCCTGCCACAGCCTATCTTCCGTAACGTTCAGCGTCTTGATATACGCTATTTCCCGTTTCTCATCTGCATTGATGGGCACAGGGATATGAATCCCCGCATTACCCAACTTCGGATGCGCAATATTCATATTCACAGCCTGAACCGTCTTCTCATCGGCCTCAAACTGTTGACGCGCCTCGAGCTTGCAGTCGGCACAGGCTTCCATGGCCTCCATGCCAATGTAGAAGACCACGGTAGTCTTGAGGTCTTTGGGTGCATCAGGCCTGGGCATGCCCTTGATGCGCAACCCCCAATTACCCTGGCTCTGGCCTTCAGAGTGCTTTATGAACTCGGTTATAAGGTTTATTTTGTTTCCGACGTCTTCTATCATTTGTCGGCCGCCTTCTCGTGTATCGTATGAGATCCAACCGTACTTGGCCATGCCGTCGCTCTGGTTCACGTCATGTCGGAGTGCTATAGAACTGGTTAGCGCTGTACGCATATCCTCAAAGTGTCTACTTACTCGTCTCTACATCTTCCAGCTTCCCCCACATGACGCCCGCAATGAGACTTTTGGGCATGCGGGCGCGCAGACCCAGATACAGATTGGGACGATAAGGGCCCCATAGTAGCGACTCGTTGCTAGTCGGCACCTTGTGGTCAGCGGCGGACGCGTGTGGGAGGAGCGTGAAGAGGAGCGCGAGGAGAGCTGGCGGGAGCATGATGACGTCGAACGGGTGCGACGCGTTTCACGACGCGTTGACCAATTGCTCTCAAGCTCTTCGGGACGACTGCGGTGGCGCGAGGCTTCGGGGCATATCTCTGCTACGTTGACTTAGCTCTTAGCTGACAGCGACAGCAATGCGCCGGCTATATCGGACATATTTGCCCAGACAGAGCGGCCTTGGTTCCTGCTGCGTTGTGATTGGATGACGCGCTACGCCATGGCCAAAAGAACTCTACTTCCATCTTCAATCAGTCGCACGCGATAAGAATCACAATTCGCTTTACTCATCGTTCGAAAGATCTACAGTTGTATTCGCCTGTGAATGGTTTCGGGTCAGTTACAGCGACTGGTCGTCCGCATGTTACTACGAATGCATTCATTCGGTACCTGTCATGCCACAGAAACTTCATCCTTTCCAGAATGTATTTCGAAGCATACCTGGGTAGTACACATTACACAGAATAACACCTACTCTTGACGCCAAAACATGATACAGGGCTGAAAGCATAACAAGGATGCCAGCTATTCCAACCCGCCAACCTCCCGCGCGACGTCAGCGGTCCACTCACGCCGCCGAGCCCCCACAATCTGCAAATGCGGATGAGCGAACTAAAAGCCAGCCATCCCGCCTTGGACGCTGGCGATCCCGATCGACTCCAGGATAGCAAGATATAAAGACTTTTACGCGATTTCTGCCACAGAACGAATTTGGAGCCGTTTCAAGATTACAGCAACATGGAAGAACAAGTAGAGCGCCTAGCAAACAAGGTCTGGGGTATGTGACAATTACGAGTTGGAAATAAGAGACACGTGTTGACGAGACCGCAGACCAATATCAAGATGTCCCTGCATCAAAGCGCTTGCTAATCGCCGTATCCGGTATCCCAGGGTCCGGTACCGTACACGCACGAACCTCAACCCTCTAACCCGCTGACCACGACCAGGCAAAACAACACTAGCAGCCATCGTCTCAACCAAACTCAACGAGAAACATGCACAGCAATCCCCTGGTACCGCCAATAGCAACCCACTCTCAGCCTTCATACCAATGGACGGCTTCCACCTCTCGCGCCAACAACTCGACGCAATGCCCGATCCAGACAGCGCCCATGCGAGACGAGGCGCGGCATTCACATTCGACGGCGACTCCTTCTACAGTCTCGTGAAGAAGCTGCGAGACCCCATATGTCCAGAGAGCTCCACACTCTACGCCCCCAGTTTCGACCACGCGCTCAAAGACCCCGTTGAAAACGACATCGCCATCGCGCCATCCGTCCGCATCGTCATTTTCGAGGGTAACTACTGTTCTTTGAACAAGGCGCCTTGGAATGAAGCTGCGAAGCTAATGGATGAGCTTTGGTTCGTGGATGTGGACTTTGATGTTGCGCGGAAGAGGTTGGTGCATCGCCATGTTAAGGCGGGGATTGCGAGGGACGAGGAGGAGGCGAGGAAGAGGGCGGATGAGAATGATCTTGTTAATGGGAGGGAGATTGTGGATTTGAGACTTGAGGTGCATGAGTTGGTTAGGAGTGTGGAGGATGGGACGTGGGCGCCTGAACAGCAGGGGGTGGGGGATGGGGCGGATGAGGGGAGTAAAGGGGGGATGGCGGGACGGGTGTGATGATGTGTTTGCTGATATCTAGTATTAGCAGTGGATAGCCTGGCTTTCTTCGCTGTTTTCGGCTCCCAAGTATAGACGCTGCACTACCGCGCATTCATGATTTCTGCGTGGAAACCCTGATAGTCCTCAAGACTGTTTCCTTTTCATAATAGGACGTGTCTCTCGTATCATCGCATTCGTGCACCTCCGCATCACTACCAACGATACCCTTCGCCCACACTTCCACCGTCGCCTTCTCCTCGAAAAGTTGATCCGAACTGTCCAATTCGCAGTGCTCGCACACGTTACTCTGAAGTTCAACAGTCAGGCCTCTGCAACACCCACGAAGTCCTTCTATCTTGCCATCTAGGTTCCTTCTCCGCTTTTCCCTTCTCTTCTTGTTGTGTGGGTCCGCTTCCGTACGCACATAACTGCACACCTGGCAGAAGAATGCCACTTCGCAGGTGAATTTGACGTCTTTGAGTTCTGGTCGGAGTCGCTGCAGGTATCGCACAAACATGGTGTCGACCTCGTCCGGCGCAAACCACAGGTCTTTCGCGGCGCCTCTAGCCCCTTGCCAATTCAACGTGACTTTCCATGTCATTTCGACGTTCTTGATGCTGTTGTTGAAGAGAAGTGTGTTTTTATACTCGCTGCGGTCCACCGGGTTTGGTGGTGCACGATAACATGATTTCACACTGAAAACTCTGCGGCGAACTTTTGGTGTTAGGCTTACCCTTCGTTTTGTTCTTCCATATTCTGTGGTTGGGACATATGTCTGCGTCCTGTAGAAGAGTTCAAGCGCTTCCCCAAGAATCGTTTTGCACGAAAGTAGCCACTCAGGAAGGCCCATGTAATGGTCATCGAGACAGCTCGAGGGGTACTTTCGGTTTTTGGCATCGATGGCGAGGTTACGGTAATGAAAGGTAGTTTCATCGGAACCGAAGGCGTGCTCCCAGATCATGTCGCGCAATTCGCGAGGCAGGCGGGTGAAGAGTGGTGACTGCTCATTCTGAGTGGTGATGAGTCTTGCTCGGGCAAGATCTTCTTTTGTGCTGCGTTGGCGGCGCTTACGGGGGACGTGGGGTCCGTCGTCGGGTGAGTAGCGTTTTTCGTTGCGGAGATGCATGTTGAGAAGTGTTGCTATCTGGCGAGAACCTGACAGGAAGGTGGGAGACGACCTCTGAACCGTACGCCGCGATGGAGGATTGCTGTAGAAAGAAGAAAACATGGCTTCACAAGTGGGATCGAAGTTTAAGTAGCCGTCGTATTGGTATAGAGCTAACTGGTTGTGGCTAGCGTCATATCCCCGTTGGAGACCGAGACGTAATATGGACGACTGTATTGCCTGGAACTGCAGCGGACGTCTGTCGACTATCGATACAGCCTCGATGACTCTTTTGCATCTGATCTAGATACCATACACAGTTATGTGCTCTTCCTCGATGCGTTTTCTTCTACCTTCCGCTCAACGGTCGTCACATGTCGCACCCACACCGAGTCAGGCTGATAAGGCGTCCAGGGCTCCCAACCATCGACACGACCCAGATCGTTCCAAGATGAAGCCCCACCCATACCGACAAGCCTCATTGCACAATTCTCCGCATCGTCCATAATCGACAATGGCGTGCCACCCTTCTCAGGATCTGACCTAACCACGACAGTGACCTTGGCTTTACGAAATCTCTCTCGCCAGTCTTCTTCCCAATGACGGGTGAGGTTGTGAGATTGGTAGTTCTTATAGTAGTACTCGGTTCTGAGGTGGTACCAAATCAGCTCCAAACGCGCATCCTCCAGAAGTAGGTTGTCCATTAGCTCGAGGAAAGGAGCAGTCAAATCGCAAAAGACATTGATGTTCTCAGTCCAAAATTTCGGAATGTGATATCCAGGGACCAGCTTCACAGTTCTTACGCCACCAGGAGTGAAGACAAGCGAGTTCGGTAGTCCAGGCAACTCATTCTCGGGGAATAGTGGTTGACCAAAGGGTTGGAAGGCGTAGGTGCGCGCGATCATGTCTAGAAGCTCGTAACAAATCTGCTGGCTAGACAGCGACCATAGTGGGAGACCTCGCTTAGTTGGTTTCAAGCGCCGGACGCCTAGGTAACCTTCGGTGTCCTGTGTTGCAACAATGATGAGCGTATCCACGCGGAATGTGAGATTCAGACCATCAAGTAACTCCAAGTAGATCTGGTTTCGAATTTCGCGTGGGAGATTCAAGAGGGCGCTTCCTTCTTGAGACGGAATCTCCGAGACAGTAGGCCGAGCCTTTCGGGCTTTGGTCATCAGACGCTTCGAGGAGCGAGTGCCTTTTGTCGGCGACAAAGCGCGTTTCTTCGACGGCGCCTTCTTGGTAGGAGCCATATCGTCCTCTGAGCGTATGTGGGCAGTAGGTTCGAGTGGCGAGGAGCGATTGTAGCAGCCAGGCCGAGCTATGAGTGAGCTATGATGTCGAGTTGGGTGATGGGCGAGCGTCGATCGTTGACTGTCTGTCCTGCGTAGGTCAGAAGATCCAGAGGTACCGGATTAAATATGCGAAAGTATCCGAATTCCAGCGCTAGATATTCTCGTGATCACGGGCACGGTCCTTATCTGGTAATGAAGGAAGGCGCGACGAATGCTGCCTGGGCCACCCTCTTCGTGACCCGATTAAAAGGTCGAGAACACCGCTCATCTTACCAATTCGCCTGACTTCCTCAAATCAACTCATTTCCAACATGGAAGCAACAATGAACTCAACATACACAAACCGCGCCAGCATCGAGGACACCTCAAACCTCGACCACCTCGAAACATCCAAGTCCACCGCGTCGGCTGCGTCAGCTCCCACCTCATCCCATAACCTCCTTCTCGACCTTCCAGCCGAACTTCGAGAAAAGATATACGCCTTCGTCTTCGGCCCTTCCCCCCGCGCATCTACCGCCAGCAAAGAAACCTGCGTCCAGGCTGTAGTTCGCGACTTCTCGACTCCTTCCTGCTACTATCCCGGATACGCAATCATCGGCTTACCCAAATGGTTGCTAGCCAACAAACAGATCCACGCCGAAGCGATGGCTGTGTTCCGCCGATGGCGTACGTTCGTGTTCGATGACCCGATACCTGTGATGGAAGATGTAAATTTGTTGGACGAACCGCGGGCACTACCTGCTTTCAACAGTCTGACCTGCGGTGGCAGCGCCAACATTGATAGCATTGTGTTCCAACCTGGCCGTACTGTGCAGTTTAAACTGCACTGGCCTGTTCGTCCCAGGTACACGCGAGGCGAGATTGCACGTTTCCTCGAGAAAGCGAAAGAGGATGACACCGAGTTTCTCGATTGTATTTATCGTGGACTCGGAGAGAATGCGTGTTTGGAATTATACTGGGATCGTATGTGGTGTAGAAGTTCGTTGATCGGTGGGGAGTGGCTGGATGGCGAAGAAGAAATGATGGATTGTTTTGATGAGAGGTGGAGTGGGCGGTTCCGTAAGGTTTGCGTCTATGTTAGGTATGGAGGAGCGGAGTGGCTCTTTGCGCAAAAGATGATGAAGGCGGCTAGGAAATGCTCACGGCGACTCGTGGGTATTACTGCAGGAGAGGACGTAGGCGTGCGTTGGACTAGGAAGGAGGTGAGACCGGCAGTTAGTCCTATCCACCTCAGCGATTGGGAGTCGACGTTGGTGATCGAGCGGAAGATTTGAGATCTCGGCTTGACCGCGTAAGATGTGTAGTTGGGGGCATTGGTGGCCGGCACGAGAAGCTTCTCCCGAAGTATGTATAACTCGTGAACAATCTCCCTCATCCAGTTGATCTTTCAACCGTAACATACCTCTTGATGCGGCCATGACCAAACGGTCTATCGCGACGATTCCTCACTTCTTCCGTCCATCTCACGCTTGATCCATCCTCCACCGTCTCTCCGTCTCCATCACACTCCCCACCTCCCCTAGCAACGAGTCTCTTCGCCGCCCGCTACCCCAATCCCGCCACTATCTCTTTCGCCATCAACTCATCCACCCTACTATCCACTCTAATCCGCACACGTTCCAATCTGCCCACCCAGCGTTCCAACGCCTCATTCCTAAGAATCACTTCATCACCCGGCAACACGCCAAAAACGTTGTAAGTCCAGTACATGCGCAGCTCTTTAACAGCTGCACCAGCCTGATGCAGGACGTTCAACATCTCCTCATCAAAAGGCCCAAGTTTAACCACCACCGTCCTCTGCTGTTGCCCCCTGCGCGCTCCCGATATAGCCATCTGTCTGCCCAGTGTAGGGTCTACATGCCACCGCGCAAGCCCTAATTCAGTCGTGACTTCGGTATCAGAATCTTGTGCTAGCTCGTCCGGGTGCGCTGCTGTGATATAGCTTAACGCCCTCATGTTGAACACTACTGTCTTGACAGCCGCAAAGACGAGCCTGTTCAACACGTCATCCGCGGCTAGATCCCTGAGATCTGTTCTCCGGACGAGGCCGAGGCCGGGGTGGTATGAGGTGAATGCGTACTCTCTTGACAGTACGTTCATGCCTTCTTTCAAAATTTGTGTGCACGTCATCAACCAGATCGGCAGACCCTTTTTTCGGGGTTGTGATATCGCGTTGTTTTTGTGCACGATTGTCTTGGGGATCGCGAAGAAGGATGTGATGCGAAGGCTGTTTTTGAGTGAGGCTTCGATTGTGAGCGAGTCATATGAGAAGGTGTAGATGAAGTTGCGTAGTTCGGCAGGCAGGTTGAAGAAGAGACATGGTGTTGGTGAGGTGCTTGAAGAGGTGTGGGCAGTATGTAGTGCCGTGTTTGTGGTTTTGTTTAGCATGCTCAGGAATTTCCCTCAATTCGGGCCAGGATAGGCGCGGCCTTGTAGTAGTAGTGTTGCTGAGGGATGCGGCTGCTGTGGGGCAGCGGCTTGTGATTAATTGTGGAAGTAAGAAGGTTTAAGTAGAAACAGTACGTAGAAGCTTTGAAGAAGAAGCTTGTGAGATGCTGAGAAGCTTTCGTTGTAGGTGCGCATGCTGAGATATCTTGATGGGGCAGGCATCGGCGAGTCACGTGCTCTAATATCCACTAGCGCATCCACTTTCAAGACACGCGCAACCTTGGAAGTCATCACCATGCAATTAAACAGCCAAAACTGAGTTTTCCAGTAATCATATTGCTACGATAATCTTCTACTCAAACAAGCATACACGCTCGCGGCCGTGAAAGATCCGAGTCTGGCAACCTTGCAAGAGCACCCGGAACATGCTCCGGTCTCTGCAAAACCCACTCATCCCCTATCAAACATACTACACAAAGAAGTGAAGAACGTGCCTGTGCTCCCCAGCTTCATATGCAAAGGAAACAATTGTTTGCCGACAGGCGTTTGTGGGCGCCGATACAAAAAAGGCTCGGCCGGCCATGTGATGGGAAAAGCTCGCTTCATCCGGGAACGCCACATCCGACTCCGTAAATGACGATGAGAACCGGGGTCAGGCCGTTCGAAAAAGGGTGGGTGCGTATGTATACATTTTGGGCACCCGTCATCCAAGGTTGCGCCAAATGAGTGCAGCAAAAGGAAAGCAAAGGGGGAGCGCGCAAAAGTGCTAGCGACAAACGGGTGTATGCCGTCTATGCCTTGACTGCGCCGCCCTCCTCGACGTTCTCGTTGTTCTCAAAGTCTGACGCGGAGGTCTCGCGGTTCAGGCTCGTCTCGCGGTGCAGGAAGGTGTGTTCCTTGACGGGGCTGCCTGCCAACTCGCCCTGACCGTTGGCGGTGACGCTGTCTCTGTGGCCGTTGCCATTGCCGTTGCCGTTCTGGCCGGTGGGCGTGGGCGGGGCGATGTGTGGGATCTTTTCGGGGTTGGGGTGCTCGCGGCCGACTTGGGTGACGCCGACGTCACCAGCTTTGCCGGCCTTGGAGAGGGCGTAGTCGCCGCTGTCGAAGTACTTGCGCTCCTGCGGCCATGGTTAGCAGGGCTCTGAATGTTTCGCAGGGTCTCGTACCTTCAACTTGTTCTGGAGCAAGTCCTTCTTGTTGGGCAGCTTGCCATAGAGACGGAAGAGCTTGGCCTCCTGCTCCGACATTTTCTAAATCACTGTTAGCTAGACATATTCCTAGAGGGCGCGCATGGCTTCTGTGCGGCTATGACGTACGCTGACATCGACCTTGTTCTGC